CTCTTTTTTGGTGAGGAAGACTGGCCCTGGGCTAACATCCATGCCCATCTTCCTCTACTGTATATGTAGGACGCCTGTCACAGTGTGGCTTGATAAGTGGTGCATAGGTTGGCGCCCAGGATCCGAACCTGTGAACCCCAGGCCACCAAAGCGGAGCATGTGAACTTGACCACTACACTACTGGGCCAGCCCCTGTCCATCTTTTTGATTATAGCAAAGTGGGTGTGAAGTGGTGTCTCATTGTGGTTTTGATTTGCGTTTCCCTAATGATGAATGATGTTGAGCATCTTTTTGTGTGCTGATTGGCCTTTTGTATGTCTGCTTTGGGAAAATGTCTATTCAGATCTTTGGCCTACTTTTTAATTGGGTTATTTGTCTTTTTATTATTGAGTTTTAAGAGTTCTTTATATATTCTGGATACAACTCCCTTATTAGTTATATGATTTACAAATGTTTTCTCCCATTCTGTGGCTTGTCTTTTCACTTTCTTGATGGTGTCCTTTGAAGCATGAAAATTTTAAATTTTGATGAAGCCCAGTTTATCTATTTTTTCTTTTGTTGCTTGTGCTTTTGGTTTCATATTTAAGAATGCATTGCAAAATCCAAGGTCGTAAAGATTTACACCTATGTTTTCTTCTGAGAGTTTATAGTTTTAGTTCTTACATTTAGATCTTTGATCCATTTTGAGTTAATTTTTGTATGTGATGTGAATTAGGGGTTCAACTTCATTCTTTTGCATGTGGATATCAACTTATATCAGCACCAATTCAATTTTAACAGTACATTGCTGTCATTAATTTACTTTTTTTCCTGAGTATCTTGACTTCTAACAAGATAATTACTTATTTGATGTTTAATACAATATAAAGAAAATAGCTTTGAAATATTAATATCATTATTACTAAATAGTACAAGCACTGAGGGAAGTTTAGCATTTCTTTGAAAAGTTTTTGTCCTTAGTCTCTTTTAATGAGATGTAGTCTATCAAAATATTCTGTTCTAATGTCTCTTGAATTAATTCTTTCTCTGTGTGGCTATGTTACCAATTTAATATTTGTTTAGGTTCATTTGCTTCAGTTTTTCTGTTTAACAGCTTTTAAATTTGTTTTATTTGTCCTTCCAGGGTGTGTTTTGGCAAATGCATACATGTGTATATTCATATACATATACGTGTACATATGTATTAAGATACATATATATATATATGCAATAACAATATATATATCTCATTCTTTATTCTCCCTACTTTCCTTGTGTAAAAGGTAGACTATTATATTCTGGAGGTCTTTACACATCCATACCTAGTTCTTGTCCTCATTTTTTACGGCTGCATAGTATTCCATTATGTGGATTCCCTATTGCTGGGCATTTGGATGGTTTTTAGTCTTTTACTATTAGCCACAGTGCCACAGTGAATAACCTCGTATGTTCTTGTGCAGGTGTTTCTCTAGCTTAGATTCCTAGGAGCAAGATGGCTGGGACAGAGGATAAGAGCTTCTCTAGTTCTGTTAGATGTTGCTGTATTCATCTCCATAAGGACTGTGCTGTTCTCTACTCCCACTAGCAATGTACAAGAGTGCCTTTCCCCCAGAGTTTGTTGTCAGACTTTGGGATTTTTGCCAGTCTGGTAGGTGAAAAATGGTATCTCAATGTAGTTACAATTTCCATTTTCTTTATGAGTGAGGATGAACATCTTTTCATATGTTTAACATCATATGTATTTATTTTTCTGTGAATTGTTTATGTCTGTTGCCACTTTTTCCCATTGGATTGTCGATCTTTTTTTTTTCCTCCCTGTTTCTAGGAACTGTTTATATATGGCTCTTTGTGACATGAATTCAAATACTTTTTTCTTGTTCGTCATTTGTCTTTGTTTATAGTGTATTGTGCCAAACAGAAGTTTTTTATTTTTTATGTAGTCTAATTTATCAATTTTTTCTTACATGGCTTCTGGATTTTGAGTCATAGTTAAAAAGGCCTTCCCTACTTCAAGGTAATAAAGGGATTTCACCCATGTTTTCTTCTAGTACTTGAGGGGTTTATTTTTCACATTTAATCTTTAACCCATTTGGAGTTTATCATGTTGTAGTTATTTAAGCCTCTTGGTACCTCTTGCCAAATTACTTTTCAGATGAGTTTTATACTCTGTTGATTATGAATAAGAACTCCTGTTTCTCACCCTTGCCAGTGTTTGTATTGTAATTTTATACTGACAATAATCTTGCCAAGTGTTCTGCTCTATGCTTGGACGCCTCCTCTGTAAAATGGGGATATCTGCTCTTGTTGATTAAAAACAAAATAAAAAATGGTAGAACTGAGAGCAGTAGAGAACAGAAGTGTTATATCAGGAGTTATTTATATTGTATAGTGCCTTACACATAGTGTGATAATTATAGGCACTCAATAAATACTCAGTTGATTATAGGCAAAGTACTCCTATGTTGAGATTTATTTTTTCTCAGATTTTATTCCCCTTAAAACTTTGATAATTACAGATAATGTTGTTTATTTCCTCAGTTTGTAGAAGACTATGAACCAACCAAAGCCGACAGTTACAGAAAGAAAGTAGTTCTTGATGGAGAAGAAGTCCAGATAGATATTCTGGACACGGCTGGACAGGAGGACTATGCAGCCATTCGAGACAACTACTTTCGGAGTGGGGAAGGTTTTCTCCTCGTGTTCTCAATCACAGAACATGAATCGTTCACAGCAACTGCTGAATTCAGGTACATTTGAAGTGAAATGGCCTCCAGCCTCCAGGAGGCTTTTTGCCTTCCTTTCGTGTGTCTTAGGCTTGAAAGGAGTTTGGGCTGAGCATAGCAGTAGAGGATTAAGCTTGTTGTTAGGAAGAATTCTGTTTAAAGAATTTTCTGGGGCTTTTTGAATCTTGGCACATTATAACCCACCATTTGTTATAATCTCTTAGGGCTTCCCTGTTTTATAATTTCTGAATATAAATTATCTTAAGAATCTGTTGTTCCCTAAAGAGGACGAAGCCATTCCATATACTCAAGAATCTATAATTTTGTTTTTATATGGATTCTAAGAGACAGTGATTGATGAGTTGTCTTTGTCTTTTTTATAATTTTACTGGAAAAGTAACAATTTTAATCTATTTTGAGGTTTATGAACGTTTTCAGAGAATGAAAGATGTGAGTCAGAGTGACCATTTGCCGCTCCTGTAAGGACTTGAGCAAAGTTGAGTGGAAAGAACCCAGCTTTAGAATCGGACAGACTTGGATTTGAATTCCTGCCCTGCCGCTTGCCAGTTTTGTGACCCTGGGCAAGTTTACTTAGCATTGGAGATTCTGTTTCTTTATCTGAAAATGTGCTTGTCAGTTGATGAAATGAAATAAAATGATGCTTTAGACTATAAATTCCGTAAGGGCAGGAACCGTGAGTACCCGTGACTGTGTCGCGTCCCCAGGCGTTCTCACAGTGTGGGCACATGGTGATTTTCATAGTGACTAGATATTAACTGCTATAATTCATTTGAAAATGCAATAGTTCAAGATACCTTACGTTCACTTTGTTATAAAGAAGTAGCTGTTGGGCGTAGTTTTATGGGAATTCTGATGGGAACGATATCTTTCTTTTTACCCTGTACCCTTCTCATTTCTCTTACATAGTTTTTTTTTTTTTTTTGGCTGAGGAAGATTGGCCCTGAGCTAACATCTATTGCCAATCTTCCTCTCCTTGCTTGAGGAAGATTGTCCCTGAGCTAATATCTGTGCCAGTCTTCCTCTGTTTTGTATGTGGGACGCCACCACAGCATGGCTTGTGTGTAGGTCCGTGCCTGGAATCCGAACCTGTGAACCCTGGGCTGCCAAAGCGGAGCACGTGAACCTAACCACTGTGCCACCGAGCCGGCCCTGCACAGTTGTGTTTTTTCATCCACTCTCCTTATACACATATCTATCCAGATGACTTTTTATTTTAAGAACCATATCTAGAGTCTAACAGGGAACTAAAAAGGGAAAAAAACAGTAATTTTTTTTTCATTCTGTAGCAAGTTCTGGTCAGAATTAAGGTGATCAACCAAAGGTAAAAATGAGGAAGCTAAATATCCCCCCAAGATTTGGAAGGAAGTATCAGTGAGCCAGGGAGGCCTCAAGGGTGAGCTCAGGTGAACCAGCAGGGTGAGTGGAAGGTGAATAAGGCGGTGTTCAGTTGTTATGCTCCACAGGTTCCAGTCTTCAGAGGCTGACTATCGAAATCCTCTGGTGCTACCGTGTGTGCATCGATCAACTAAATGACTAGGGCTCCTTATGAGAGGCCCATGGGTTCTCAGACTTGTCTGACATACTTAGAGTTTCCTATGTGTGGATGTAGCCCATGTATTCATAGTTGTGTTTCCATCTACATCATCTTGTTTTATGCCCCCTTGAGGATAAAACAGGACAGATGCACACACGACCTTATTTCCTTCCCTGTCCTGAGCCTGTTCATTTCCCATTGCCCCCTGACTCACCAAGAAAGGAAACGTTGACAGGGAAAGAGTCATCTCCAGAGACTAGACAATGCCACCCTTGTCCTGTCGGCCCGGATCATCACACGCACACAGATAACATTCATGCTTTCTTGTGGAGTTGGAGCAGAGTCTCATCTCATCTTGGGAGAAGGGTTCTGGTTGTTATGTGAGAAAGGGCATCGTTAGAAGAAACATGGCAGATGACTACCTAAAAGGGAAAGAAAGGGGAGTTAGTTCTTGAACTCAGGACATTTGGATGAAAGCCCCAGAGCTGTCCAGGTCTCTTGTGTCATTGGAAGCAGAAGCGTGGAGGTAGGTTGTCTGAGCCTTGGGTTAAACTCAGTCACTTTACTTTGTGCCCGTTAGCAATTACAGAACAGCATTTCTGTATTTATGGAAAGGCCCCAACATAAAACGAAACATTAATACGCTCTATCTTCCTTGAAACTTTTCCTGGACAATATTCCATAGGTTTGTTACAATAGGTTTTGTAATAGGTTGAAATAGTTTTTGAAATAGGTTTGTTGCAAGAGATTGGAACTTGGTACCCCCATTTTGTGTCGATATGTTTATTAGTGAAGTAATTTTACATTCCTCTGCAAGACTCATGAGCCAGAAAGCTCTCGGTTTTTCCCGTTCATAGTTTATACTGAGCATCTAACTTCTAAATGCAGTGTGTTCTGTGACCCTGTGAAATGTGGGCGTAGCAAAGGTCCTTAGAGGCCATTTTCAAGCAGCTACTTGCTTTCCTTCTTTTTCACTTTTCTTAAAATATTTGATATCTGATACTTAAATTGACTGTATGGAAAAATTTAAAAATATTTTTATTTTTATGAAATGTTACCTTATATCACATAAAAAATCAATGCAGATCTCTACAAAATATATTTTTGAAGGGGTCTCCTTTTTGGAATATATTGGAATGCTGAAGTAGAAATGTCCCCACTGGACCAAAATAATGGAAGTGGAATATTTAATTTTTTTAATATTTCATTTTGCGTAATAATTTTAGATAGCTGATTATTTTTAGTAGAGGTAAAATTTAATGTGCTACTGGTAATGGTTTTTCTTAGAGAAGATATTTTTAAAGTACTTTTCCATAGGCCTTGGATTTTTTTTCACTTTGTAGTAGAAAAATAAGGCACATTAAAGTACAATTACTGCTTAACGTAAGTGATCCCATTCTGCTGCCTGTCACATCTACTGTATCTAAATGGAGACTGTGTTCGGGGGGGCAGGTGCATACACACATAATTGAAACAGAAGCTTTACAAAGCCATACTTAGTGTTACTACTCGAGATTCCCTCTGATGTTTCTATTCTATTCTATTCTATTCTATTCTATTCTATTCTATTCTATTCATCTCAATGAGGAAAAAAATTACTGGTTGTGACTCACTAAATTGATTTCACGGTCTAGCAATAGACCGCCACCTTCTGTATGAAAAACACTGGATTTCATAGCTTTTATTCTCACAAAGAAATCATACCATTATTAAGCATTTTATGTATGAAGATACTTTGGGCTTGTTTTTGTCTCAGGGGTCCCCAGGTTGTTCCTTTTCTTTTGTGCCTAAGCATAAGTTGGGGACCCTGTTGAAATGCATAATCCTGGGCTCCTATCCAGACATTCACTTCTGTAGGACTGCTGTTGCCCAGAAATCTGCATTGTATTGCACAGCCCAGGTTGTTCTGATACAGGCAAACTGAGGACCAGACTTTGAAAACACTTGTCTCGTTTATGACAGGATCCAGGGAATGCTTCCTTGGAACATGCCCTAAGTGTAGCAGTTTCTTCTTCTGCCGTGGGACAGCCTTGCATTTTAGATGGGTCGACGAAATTGAGTTCTTCTTCCTGCTCTCTCAGCTGCTTTATTTTTGATGTTATGCCTTAGGGAACAGATCCTCCGCGTTAAGGCCGAAGAAGATAAAATTCCATTGCTCGTCGTGGGAAACAAGTCTGACTTAGAGGAGCGGAGGCAGGTGCCCATCGAGGAGGCTAGGAGTAAAGCGGAGGAGTGGGGCGTGCAGTACGTGGAGACGTCGGCTAAAACGCGGGCCAACGTGGACAAGGTGGGCATGTGCTCTCCGTGTGTTTCTTGGAAATAGCAGAATGTAGACGGGTATCATCTGTTTGGTTTTGAGGGAACCATTTCTGGAAACTAGGGGAGGACTGATTTTTCCAAATTTCTAAGCCATTTTGCTGAGAAGCACTGGGAAGGTTTGACCCTGGATTTAAGACAACCCAGAATCCTTTCAGCTTGTGTCATGAGCCTTTGTCCGAGTGGGCTTAATGTTGGTGTAGCCCTTGGAAGTACGGCAAGATGAGGCCATTGTCTTGTGAAGACTGTGCTGGAAGGATGGATATAAGTACTTCCCTATGCTCTCTCATCTTCCTCAGCCTGTTGTTCTTCAGGAGTAGGGCTGGCTGTGTCGGGCTGGTTCCTAGGAGGTTCCCCAAAGAAACACGGTGTTTCTTGATTTTGCTGTCACTGAGTTATTGGTTAGATTATTTCTTTTCACCTTACCGTCCACTGGCAGAGCCAAGGTGTTCTGTGTTTATAACTCAGTCTCTGGATAGTATTGCTCTCTGGAGTCAACTCTCTCGGGATCTTTTTTCTCTCTCTTACCATCCCCAGCATACTTTCTCATTCAGATCCCTGAAGCTAATGAAAAGGTGACCTTGATAATGATGAACATAGACAATTTGAAAATCCCCCTACCAGTGATTGCTGTTGTTAGGCCTTTTTTAAAAATATTAAGGTTCAGAGTCGTTGCCAGACAGCTAAAACAGACAATCTTAGAGATGAGGTTTCACTTCTGCCCTCACCTTGTTCATCAGCTGTTACTTCGTGGTCAATGCTCTTGTAAAATCTAAACACACATCACTCTGGCCACGACGCACTGGGTGTGTCTGCTTAGTGTTACACAGCATCAGCATCTGAATCCCCCACATCATTTCTTACGTTTCCCTTTCTTATGGAGAAATACTTCTCCTTTACCTCTCACCTGAAGAGGGAGCGATTTGTCCCCAAGCTTTCCTTCAGCTTGAAGTGATGCTGGAGGAACACAGGCATTTGGAATGTTGGGATTAGAGGGTTCCCTTTAGAAGCACTTTGGCAGCATCCACAAAATCAGTCTGTTTAGTTGTAGTCTGCCCTGTGCAGTGGGTTGAGTTGTTAGCTGTTTCTTCATATTGTTTCTCAACCCTTATATTGATTCTTGTGCTATTCCAGATCTCTTTCTTTCTATCAAATTGTTCCTAGCTGTAGAAAACACACAGGAAATCCAGACATACTTATTTTAAAGAACATCAGGAAGGCTTTCTGGGCACTGAGCTGTTGAGGTGTGTGTTTGGTGGGAGTGGGGGTGCTGCTGCGCACAGCTTGTCGTCTCCCCTTCCTCCACTACACCAGCTTGACCGGCCAGACAGGAACCAGCAGAAACTTATGACTGGCAGCATTGTACTCACTTGTAAACAATTTACACGAAAGGAGGTTGTTGATAAGATCAGCTGATGAACAACTTTGTCATCATTTTAAGCTGTGCACACTCCATTCCTCTCCTGCCTTTTGCTGTTAGAGCAAAAGGAAAAACCTGAAACATCTGAAGCTGTTCACTGTTGCTGTTCTGAGTGGGGTGCTTAGGTCAGTTTGGGGGGGTTCCTTTTCTCTGCCTGGTGGTAAATGCATCTGGAGTCCTACACTCAGTAAGCTTGATCTTGCTTTTCATCAAGAAGAAGGTAAATCTAGGAAAAGAAATGGAGCTTGTGGTTTTGTGGGAATATCCAAAGATAAAGCCTACACTGTCTCGCACTTTCTATCTCCGTCATCCCTAGGAGAAATCTGAAACGTTGCCTTGTAGGAGGCGTATTTTGTCTGCTTGGGCGTAATCAGTACTTTGGCATGATTGCTGTAGCAGAGGGCAAAACCCAAACTATTGTGACAAATGATAATCTCTATCGAAATAACGCACTGGCATTCAGAGGACACGTCTTATCAGTTCTTGATAAAGTTCCTTTCAGCTAACATCGCAAGGAACGGAGGAGTGGTTGTTCTTGAGGATCAGAGTGGGGGTGTGCAGGGGAGGGGTGGCGTGACTGGACGTCTCTCTTCTCCATTTCCCCAGTTTCACAGTGCAGGAGGCTTGGTTTATGCTCTGTCCCCCTTCTCCCCACCCCTGTGTTCCTGAGTCCGCTGTTGGGGAGTTACGCTGGGAAAGCTGTCATGCGTAATGATGTTCCTCCTTTACAGGGTCTTTATGAGGATTAAATAAGATACAGTGGTACATAATAAAGTGCCCGTAGCAGATACTCACATCATTCTTAACCTTTTCTGGTGGTTGGAAACGCTAGAAACTGATTACTATTGTCATTCTCGACATTTGTAAATTTTACAGACTTTTAGATCTGTTCTGTGATGCTTTAGCCTTCATCATACTTGTCATAAGGACAGATTTTATCATTTTGAAATAAGCTGTTGAATGACAGTAACAGTATGATGCTTCTGTCCTTAGCTTGACCTGACAACTGTGCGATGTGAGCAGAGATGTTTACTTTGTATAATTAGAGTATGTTTTTAATGTTAATTATTTTTATTTGCTCTAGACCTTTTGTTTTTGATGGCGCTTGGTTTATAAAAATTTTGGCGCATGGTTTATACAAGTGTTTGGCTTTATGCTTTAAAATGTAACTATATATCCTGCTTATTTCAGTTGCTTCATCAAACCATTAAATGGCTTTTTCCTCCCTATTCTTTTCACTCCTTCCTCCCCACCCCAGGTGTTCTTTGACCTAATGAGAGAGATCAGAGCAAAGAAGATGTCGGAAAACAAGGACAAGAATGGCAAGAAAAGCAGCAAGAACAAGAAAAGTTTTAAAGAAAGATGTTGCTTACTGTGAATGCCAAGATGGTGGATGGAGTCAGCCTCCACTAAGGACATAGGGCGGGTTCCTTCAGAGAAGACTATAGTCAACTTCTTGGCGTGTTCCCTGCTCTCCCCAGCCTCGTTCACGCATACTTCTTTAAACGGGGAAAAATATTTGTGAATCAGCGGCTGGCAGAAGAAATAAGCCCTCGTCCTTGCAGTGGACCAGCTGCTCTGTCAGGAGGTTTTGGAGTTCCCTTTTCCCTCCTTGCCTCCCTCCCTCGCTTCCAAAAATTTAATCACGCTTGTAGGGCTATAAGTAGGAAATAGTCAGGTGTTCATTAGAAAGAAAAAGTACTGTCATAACATCTTATTTTTTTCTTTGGTTTTATAACATTACCATCTTTTGTTTTGAAATAAAAACGACTTATTTTATTAGGTTTTGGGAGAAGGGGGTGGGGTTAGACCCTCCCCAACCTTTATCCAGCTTAATGGTAGTACTCAGAAAAATCTGTTAAGCTCTAATGACACTGAAAAAGTCAGAGATTTTTTTTTGATAAGTTTCTTGGTGATACCCTGTGGATCTGAAGCACAGCTAATAAATTTGAATTAGGCCAAATAGGTCAATAACAAGCTCATAAATCCTTCTCACATATGAAAAATGAAAGTTGTATTCTTCCTATTTAAATATTGGCCAATTATAGTCTTTGTTGGCTATTTTTCTCCTGTAGCATCCTGATTTTGTGTAGGAGCTTCTTTTTAGTAGATTAAGTGAAGACTCAAGAGTAGTATACGGTATAGTGACACACTTTTCTCATAGAATTTTTTAGAAAAAATTCTTTGGCTAAATCTTCTCCTAATTGCCAGTCAAGTGGTTAAGGCCCCTCTTTCTCCACTAGAGATCAACATTCTGTCACCTTCTGTGTGCATGCAGAGGTTGAGAGAGCCTCTTCTTTTGTTTCTTTCAGTGTAACATGAGTTCTTCTGAAGAATGTGGTGAGTTAAAATTGTATTCTAAAATCCTGAAGCCAGAGCCTGTGCCAGACGTTCTGCTACCTCTCATAGACTTGCTCCATAATTCTAAATTTAAAATTAGAAGTGGGGAAGGATAAGATAAGCCATTGCCCCTTTACTTCTGAGAATTGGCTGCTGTTTCAAATATAATTTTTTTGAGACAGCTGTATAGTTAATTAGAAAAAGATTTTCTTTTTTTGGTGAGGAAGATCAGCCCTGAGCTAACATCCATGCCAATCCTCCTCTTTTTTTTGCTGAGGAAGACTGGCCCTGAGCCAACATCTGTGCCCATCTTCCTCCACTTTATGTGGGACGCCACCACAGCATGGCCTGACAAGTGGTGCGTCGGTGCGTGCCCAGGATCCGAACCCAGGCTGCCAGCAGCGGAGCGCACGCACTTAACCGCTACACCACGGAGCCGGCCCCAGAAAAAGATTTTTATTGATGAGATGTTGTTAATCTTTCTTGTATCAATATTCTGAATTCAGCAATCAGAAAATTTTTCATCAGAAAAGGAGTCCTGTGATAAAAACCCAGTATTCAGCACATTTTTCCCCATTTTTCAGAAGGGACATTTCACATATAGGTGCCAAATTAAATTGGGGTGGCGAGAGCAGGAACCTTTCGAATTTATGGTTATTACATAAATTGTAGAAATTATAATCTGACTGGAAAACAATCTTGTATTTCCTCCCAAAGAATCATGGGCTTTTTTGAATTAAAAAAAAGCTGACAAATATACTTTTTCAGGATTTCAGCCTTTTTATTTTATCCTTTCGTCGTACATGTGAAAAGCAGGAATTAAAGAAATTGACGGTAAATTATTCATTATAGTTCTTGTTGGATGTTCTGCAATAGCAGACAAACTTTATTTCAATTAATCCTTTGAGTTGGGCTGTGGGAAATAAAATTATAAGTATAAATAGTAATTTTAACTTCATCTTTCTTTTGGGAGAGATGACTACTCTTTCTTCTTAAAGTTTAAAAAGTTGAAGGTAACCACACTCTTGAAATTTTTGAAACAACCTTTTCCTTCCCATCCTACTTTGCCACCTGTTTGATATCAGTTCCAGTCGAGAGTAGGTAGATTTGGAATATGTACAAATAAATTAAAGAGGGTATGAATTGTTTCATGCTATGGAAATTATCTTGGTATATGCTGTTAGTATAGTTCTAGAATTATATTTAGATGGATAGCACTCAGAAATGGATCTTCCTAACAAAGTAATTTATACATATAAGATTCTTTTCCATAGCAAAATAAAGAAGCAATGTTATTTATAAATTTGCAACATGTTTACTTGCTAAATGATTAGATATTGCGTCCATAGCGCAGCTTTCTTTTTCTAAAGTGCTCGTTCTAGAAACATCTGAGCACCTCCTTGGTGTCAGGCTCTAGTCCAGGTGCTGGGATATGTGTTGAACAAGATGGGCAAGAGCCCCGCTCTCCGGGAGCTTATGCTTGAGTGAGGAAATAGATAAATACATGAAGATATCAGCGGTAAGTGCTGTGATGAAAATGAAACTGGGTAGTATGATAGGAAATGTTTCTGGGAGGTAGAGCTGATTTCAATTCTGTGGTCAACAAGCTTCTCCAAGGGAGTGACATTGAAGCTGAGACTGCATGACCTGAAAGAGCCAGCCACGTGGGGAGCCGGGTGGGTGGGTGCTGGGAGCTTTCTCGGCTAGGGAACAGCTGGTCCAGGGGTGTTCAGGAAAAGACCCCAAAGACCAGCATCTGGCTGGAGTATATGGAGAGATGGGTAGCGTACTAGAAGAAGATGTAACAGTCTATGATTTCATAAAGTGATGTAGGGGAAAAATACCTAGACGTATAATTTCCTGCAAGTATCCTATTTCATCAAATCTAAGATACCATTGATTGCAAGACGTCATTGTAATTTATGTACCACTAGGGAAAAAACCCTGCCAATTAAGTGAATCATCCTGATTTCAGTGGGGGAAAAATGCATAAAACTGTGTTTTTGACATAAAAATATGGGAAAAAAATGCATGTTTTAGATTAGGTGAAATATGATATATAAATTTAAATTAAATAATTACTGAAATATAAACTTCACCTCTGTTGGTCTAGAAGCTACATTATGATAAAATACCATAGAAGTTTAATAGTAGATAAGTATTAATAGTGGAAAAGTACTAAGGTATACAGTTAATGTTATAGTAGTAAACTTGACTTTGATATTTTTATTTTTAAAATTCTTAAAATTAATCAAAAGTGTAATTGCACATGCTTTAAAATTCTCATGGTCTAGAAGTGCTTGTAATGGAAGCTCTGTAGTCTTGCTCCTCCTACGCCAGCCCTGTTCCTCAAAAGTCCTGTTTAACCGTTTCTACTCTCAGAGCATTCGTATTTCTAAATACCACTCTTATGCCATTATTTCTTGATTTTCAACTTCCAACAGTCCCAGTGAGGACTTGCTGTAGTAGATGAGGATGTGGCTCACTTGTTCACCTCGCCCCATCCCCATTTTCAACAGTAACATCACTATTTTATTTCCTCTCTTGGTGACTGTTACACCTTTTTAAACTATATATTTAAACTTCTGTTTATTATTCGATCAACTCTTGACAGCATCTCTTGACTCCCCACTCTGAAAGGCGAGGATATTAACATGCCTGCCCTTCATCTTGACCCCCTTTGTCAACCCTTCCTTCTCTGTTACACCTTTTACTTTTACATTATCAAGGTGGAGGGCATGACTGTTCCATCTGCACCGGCCCTCCCCCCATCTTTGTCTAATTTAAGTGCTAGAGCATGTTCTGACATAGTGTAGCTAACTAGTAATTTCTACTCATTCAGTCGTGTACCACCAAGCTAGATATTTTCGGTTAGTTATACACAGGTGTCCATCTGTGACCATAATTCAAGTTTTCCTGTTCTGCCTATAGATTAATTCTGACAGTTGAATACCAGTCAGCAAAGATTTGATGATTATGACTTACATAAATATGACTCATTGCTGAGCTGAGCACCGTGTGGTTATCACATCTCCCTCAGCGCACAGTTCTGGCGTCACCACGTGAAGGAGAGCCAGCGTTCCTGGTGTCCGGGCAGGTGGACTCTTCGTCAGTTGCCTGCAGCACACCTTCTTTTAGCTCAGTTCATCTTTGGACTGTTTCCTGTGCAGTATCCCCCCGCTTCTTCCCGATTTTCCTGAGGTTTGATTGCTTTTTTCTTGTTGAGAGAATAGTTATGTGCTCTCTTGTCCCTGATGCCACTTTCTCTCTCTTTCTGTTGCTGGGGCTCCTCTTCCATTCTTCTTCTGAAGACGTTCCCCTTAGTGCTCCTTGATTGCTGATTACCTTCTGGGTCTTCTGCACAGCTGCCGTGCTGAGATTTGTTCTTCTTGTACGCTTGGGTTGATTCCGGTGTCCCGAGTCTCATCTCCCTTTCTTGGTTTTCACTCTCATTTTTCTGGAGTACATTTTCAGAAAGGGTGCAGTAGAGGGAGACTTTGAGAGTCTCTTAGTACGTAGGAAAGTATTGTTAATTTTGCCCTTTATTTAATTGCTAGTTTGACTTGGAATAGAATTATGGGTTCAAAATAATTTTCCTCAGAACTTAGAAGGCTTTGCTTCATTGTCTTCAGGCGTCTATTTTTCTGACAAAGGTGGTGTTCTTCTGCTTGTCATCCTCTGTACTAGGTGCTCTGCTTGCCCCTCTCTCTGGGATTGGAGAGGACCTTCTCTTTGTCTATCGTGTCTGAGATGACATGGTGAGGGGTCGGAATGTGGGTCTTTCGTAGTCATCCTACCTGGCACTCTGTAGAGTCTTTCAGTGAAGACTCACATCTCTTCAGCTCTAGAAATGTATTTCCAGAATTTCTTTGATTAACTCTTCTGTTTTCTGTTCTTTCTTTCCAGAACTCCTTTTATCAGCTTTTGGACCTCCTAGATTCATACCTGCCTCATCTTTTCCATCTTTATTTTCTCTCACATTCATCCTCCCTCCCCCTCTTCCCCTCTCTCTCCCTCTTGTTTTCATCACCTATGATTTGCCAAGCTCTGTTGTAGGTTCTCAAGGTACATCAATGACCAAAACAGACGAAATTCTTTGCCCTCCTGAAGCTTACGCTAGTGGAATCAGTTTTATTTTCTAACTCATTATTTATGTATTTGTGTGTGAACAAAAGCTTCCTTTGTCTCTAATTATTCCTTTTTCATGGCAACTTTTATTGGCCTTATGGATTTAATATCTTGACTTTCTAAAGATATTAGATCTTTTTAGGGTTCTATTCCCAGAGTATACCTTTGTTTAATTT